CAGGCTCTCGCTATGTAGTTCAGGGTGACCTTGAACTTACTATGTAGCGCAGGCTGGCCTCAAACTCACATCAGTCCTCCTGCCTCAGCCTCCCGAGTGCTGAGATCACAGCTGTGGACCACCTTGCCTGGCTCTTGTTAGATCATTTTGAGGGTCAAGGAGAAGGGATTCAGGTCCAGCTCTGTCCTGGCACAAAGCAGCCTGCAGCTGAGCAGGGAGGTGGGGAGGTGGGCGGCACATTCACCTGCCCCCGCAGCTGGAACAAAAACTAAATATCCGCCTGTCAGTGCCGAACAGCTAAGGGGCCTCTCACTCCTTAAACTCCCAGCGCGCGGCGAGGGGACAAAGGTCTGTACTAAGTGAGTTATAAAAGCAGCTCAGAGCCAGGAACCTCGGAGGTGCCCCCCACCCAGCCACCTACTCGCCCACTCCCGCCCAAGGTGGCCCAGGATTAACTCCAGCCTGGCCAGGCTGAAGCTCTGCCATTCTTTGCTCTGCTTTGCGAAGCACCTGTGATTGCTCTGATGCGCCTGGTACCTCCCAGAGGAAAGTGACAAATTAGGAAACTGAGGCCTGAGAGCAATGCATGCTACCTAGGGATTACAGGGCCACTCTGAAGCTAGCACCTCTTTCTCCTGACCACCCACTCCACTCTGCCAAATTCAGATCGCCCAGTGTCAAAGCTGAGCAGATATCCATCCTCCTACCCTGTAGACTGGCCACAGAGGCCCCTGGCCAGCCCTGGGCAGACATCACTAATCAATTGGGCACAGGCTGAATCTCTGCCAGCAAAGAGCTCCAGCAGACACTACCGATGATCAGATTTGGCCCGGGAGATTTAGAGGATCCCTCAGCCTGACTCTGGGTGGTGAGATCTGCTTGGTGTTCTTCCCACAGCGCAGCACACACCTGCACATTGGCCCTCACTGAACGAAGAAGGAGGAGAACGGATGGAAGGATGAATGGACGAATGAGCAAATGCACACCCAGCCTGTGCCAGCTGCTCAGACAGACCCACGACATGAGAGGTGGTGCTACATGCTATGCACATCCCACCAATCACCCAAAGACCAGCTGGTGCCCCGCCTGCCCCCAAAGCCCTGGTGCTCCTTGCTGTGACCCCAGGTAAGACATCCGGGCCCTCCAGGCCGCAGTTGTTTCACCTATGACATAGATTATAACTGAACTTGCCTCAGAGGTCGGCCTGGGGGCTCAGGGCAGCTCACCTTGAGCCTGGTGCGAGCCAGAGCTCCGAAGAGCAGAGCTGCTGTCCACCTCTCTCGTTGTACCCGAAGCCAGGGCCTGATGTCTGCCTGGGCACTGGGTCTGTGCCAGATCGCGCAGGGCAAACATAGCCGTTGGTGGCTCATTAACTTCTCCCAGGGCCAGGGGCGGGTGTGGCCCTGCAGGCGGCGGGAGGGGCTGGCCCGGCTCTGGGACCTCAGCCTTGCTTCCCGGTGCCCGCTGAGCACAGAACAGGATCCCTGCAGCGGAGCCCAGAGCTCCTGCACCTTCGTGGCCCCTGGTGCTCAGGGGGCCCTCGGCAGGGACCCTCGCTCTGGCCACGCCCCGCTGTCTCCCTCAGGGCTGTCCTGAGCCCAGGGTCCCCATCCCCATAGAGCAATTCACTCCAAGATGTCCCATCTGTGTATCCTGCCTGCTTCTTCTTAAACTGTGGCCTTCTGGGGACAGAACCACGCTTGTCCCGTCATACAGCTCCAGGGGCTGCAGAGGATGAAAGCATGTGTCCAAATCTGTCTTCCCTTCTCCCAGCACAAGGCCCTCAGTGAAGCTCTGCGTATCTGCACCCTCATCCCCAAATCCAGCCCTGGGCACCCCCTGGATCAATCTCCCTTGTGACCACCACCTGCTAGCCACACTATGCACCCCAGGCCTGGGTGACCAGAGGGTTCCTGGCACCTGTGTACTGGCCAGGTGTTAAGTGGTGTGGGACTGGCCCTCCCTGGGGAGTTTGACGGGAGCCCAGGTCCCCAGCCGTCCCAGGCCCAGCTCTGCGCTGTCCCAGTAGACACTCAGTAAATATTGAGGCATTAATTAACTTCCTCCGGGGAGCAGTGACTCAGGCCAGATGCAATCTCCCCAGCTGGGAGCTGGGGGAGGAGAATGCCCCAACCTTGCTCAGGTGTCCAGACAAGGCCAGCGCTTCACCCCAAAAGCTTCATCTCACTCTGACCCGCTCCTACCACCCTAGGCACATTTGTGACTTCCTGTGACTTCCTGTGGTGTGTGCTGCACGCCCCCCCCCCCCCCACCCGCCCTGGGCCCAGGGCCCCCACATAGTTCAGCTGCTCCTTTATCTCCTTTGGTGAGTATTTTCTTACAACAGCTGCAACAATTCCCCTGCCCAGGGCACCCCAAAAAAGATCAAGGGGTTTTACCAAGCCAGACAACTGCGGAGCCCTCCCCTCAGACCACCCCTGGGTTCCTGAGAGGTCAAGCGAGTGTCTGCCCAAACAAGATGGCCCAGGGAAAGGGCCCATGTGTGCGGGGCTGCATGCTTCTCAGCTGGCCCCCCAAAGAGCTTGAAATTCAGTCATGTGTGGTGGCGCACGCCTGTCATTCCAGCACTCAAGAGGCTGAGGCAGGAGAACTGCTTCGGGTTCAAGACCAGCCTGAACTATGCAGTAAGAGCCCGCCTCAAAAAAACAAACAAGCAAAAAAAGCTCAAAATTCACCTTGCAGCATGGCTGGGTGAGGGTTGGGAGGCACCAAGAGGGGCTGCCCAAGTGAGGTGCTAGCTCCCCTACCCAGCACCTGTCTCCACCTCTACCTTGATTCCTCAGCCTGGCTCCCAGAGAGTGTTCTTGGGCACAGCTGGAAGAAAGGCTCTGAATGATGAGTTGAGACTGAGCCTTGCTTCTCCTCCAGCTCCTTCAGGCTCTGGTCCCACAGCAGTCAGCAAACAAGTGGTGGGGGTCGATCAAGTCAGGACCAGGAGCACAGGACCCGGAAACAGACTGCCTGCAGACTGCATCTCCCTGGCTTCTGAGTTCATCTTTTCCTGGCTGTGTGACCTTAAATCTCCATTTCCTGGCTGGGCATGCTGGCACATGCCTATAATCCCAGCTCTCAGGAGGCTGAGGCAGGAGGATTGCTGTGAGTTCCAGACCAGCCTGAACTGCATAGTGAAACGTCTCAAAAAAGTCTCCATTTCCCTGATAAACACTAAGCAAGGACAGAATGAAGGCCTTAAATGCATTGTGGGTCCCAGACTAGTCAGTCCTAGCAGCTGGTGTCAGGTAAGAGTTCCTGATGTTCCCAGTCCGCCTCTCAGGCTGGTGACATCCGCAAGGTGAACCTCAAGCCTAAATAAATGAAGCTGCTGCATGCGTTTGAGCTGGGCCTGAGGGAAGGAAGGGGCAGCGCAGTTTATTCCGACAGCTATCATCACATGAGCCAGCTCCCCAGCCCCTGGTATCCCCAGATCACCAATTAGGGTGTAGGTAAAATGTGCTTGCCGTGAGATCTCCTAAAATTTAACCCTGGCTGCTCAGAGCAGGGAGAGAGGGGCGCTACTGTTTCCGGGGTCTCCAAGGTGGGAAGGAAAGAGCTCCACGCCTGGAGCTGAGTGGTCTTGGGCAAGTCCCTCTGCTTATCAGTACCCAGTGTCCTGACCTGAAAAATGGGTGAAACTCCCCCTAGCTCTGTCTTCACCCAACCAGGACAATGGTTAGGGCTAAAAGGAGACCACAAAGGCTGCAGGGTGGGCTGGCTAGGTCTGCCAACCCCTTCCCGGGGAGACACCAAGGAGGAGGTGAAACCCTGGAAATCTGCAGGAGCGGCCTCCATTGCACCCCAAGGTCCCACCTGTCTCCCATGGTCTCCTTGGTGTGCCTCAGACAAACTGTCCCTCAGCCCCTGCCCTGGCACCGTGGAGCACCCTCAGAGCACTGTCAGCCCCTCCAGGACTCTCCGTCCAGACAGAGCCCCAAGGAATCAGCAATCTCGTCAGCTCTTCTTCCAGCCGGGAGAAGGCAGCCCAGGACAGCGCAGGGTAAGGACTAAGCGTCTCTAGGAAACTGCAGGGCATGGTTCAAATCCTGAGTTCGTCTCAGGGGGGCTGTGGGACTGATCCCCAAGCCTCTCCCCTGCTTGGGCCTCAGCTCCGGCACTGCAAAGCTTAGCAGGAGAAATTGGGGCCTTTCTAGCCAGGGCCTGCCCCCTACGAGGCACATAATAATGGGTCCTATTGTCATTGTTATTCGCCAGCGGCAGGCAGAGGTTACCGAGCGGGTAGTTAGGAACCTGGGGTTGCTCTCCTAGCCTTTGGGTCCCTAGATCCCTGGGCAGGCCTGGAACCTTCTCCATCTGAGATCAAAATGCACCAGGCTCGGGCTTTTCCCGCAGACAGATGGAGAGGCCGCCCCTTCCGCCCCTCGGCCAAAAGTCAGGGAGCCAGGCTCAAATACTGTCCGTAGGGAAGGGTACCCACAAGCCTCTCTCCCTGGAGGGCCCCCCAGGGTCACTATTCTTTTGCAGAGACCTTGGCTTCCACTGTCCTCCGGGGCCGGGAAGGGGTCAGAGGAGGCACCGCCGGCGGGGAGCTGGGAGCGCGCACCTGCCATAGGTGAGGGCGGGCTTGCGGAAGGGGGAGGAGACGTCGCGTGGCACCCGGGTGGACTGACCCCCAGCTCTGCCCCCGAGGGCGGTCGAGGGCATCCGCGAGCGTGGACGTGGCCCCTGCGAGGCGATCCGCGCTGCAGACGGCGGCCCGGGCGGCTCCGAGCCCCGCGCGGCGCGGCGGCCCCAGGAGAACATTCGAGGCAGCGGCGGCGTTGGAGGCCCCAGGTCCGTTCGGTATTTGAATAGCACAAAGGAACCGCCTTGGTCTGATTGGTCAGCCGAGCGGCCCGGGGGTGGGCATCGCCTGTCACTCGGGAGGCTCTGCCTCCTCCTATTGGCTTAGCCAGTGAGAGGCGGGGTCCGGCTTCCCGGCTAAATAGCTGGGGCCGGGGCCGGCCGAGGCTCATTGCTTTGGCGCCGTCTGGGGAGCGTGAGCCAGCGGGTGGCGCACGGCGCATGGTGGCGGCTCCTCTCGGAGCGCAGCCGACCCGCTGACCCGGGCTCCGTTCCCCCTTACCCGGCGCGCCCCAGCAGCCGGCTAGAGGCAGAAACAGCAGCAGTACTAACAGGAGCAGCGGCGGCTGCTTCGCCGCGGGAGCATGGAGTGCGCCCTGGACGCCCAGAGCCTGATCAGCATCTCCCTGCGCAAGATCCACAGCTCCCGGACCCAGCGCGGCGGCATCAAGCTGCACAAGAACCTCCTGGTGTCCTACGTGCTCCGCAACGCGCGCCAGCTCTACCTGAGCGAGCGCTACGCCGAGCTCTACCGGCGCCAGCAGCCTCCGCTGCAGCCGCAGCCGCCCCTCCACCAGCACCAGCCCCTCGGTTACGCGGCGGCGGCGCCCGGCATGCCGGCCAGCGCGGCCGACTTCGGCCCACTCCAACTTGGCG